GCTCGCTTGGTTGTGTTAACCCTTGCTACGCAACCAATCATGTGAACACGTCAGTTATATGGCAAGAGATACTCAGGCATGGGAGTAGCAGATTTGGTTTGTCTTCACTTAGCGGAAAAAACATGGATGGGCTACGGCGTGTTGGGGGTCTGGGCCGAATTCTGTCAAATTGTTATTTGAATTTTTTGATATTTTGATTTTTTTTTATTTATTTTGTTAAGAACATTAAAACTAAAATATTTCACTTAATTCCTTTAAATTTTGGGAATATTTTGAAAATTTTAAAAAATTTAACAAAAAAATAAAAAATACTTGAATATTTAACAAAATAGACAATAAATTGGAAAAAATAGAATTTTATTTCTTGAATTTGAACAATACAATGGTCAATGGATGAATGAAGTATGAAGAACAGAATGAAATATAAAAAATATAATACAGTTATAAATTGAAAATAAAGAATTACATTGTTGAAAAAATAATAACTAATTTAAATAAAGTTGAAAAAATTTATAATAATTTTAAAATTTGAAAAAAATTACAATAATTGAAATATTGAGTATACAAAAAAAAAATTGACTTCATCATTTTTCTTCAAGTTCTACTTTCTCCCTGCATCTTTATCTCATCATCCAACTAATCTTTAAGGCAGATGAACATTTTCAGACTTTCATCATTTATGCAAAATTGGAGGGGTTAGTAGATCATGTGCCATGGTGGCAAGGGTTGGATAGTTTTTTCCATTATAAAATCACTTATCACATTACCTAAATACCCTCTAAATTAGTTGTTATATAGTTGTTGGGGGGGCATTATTGTCATTTTATCTCCCTCCAAATTCAAAATACATAAATTGCCCCCCTATAGTAGTCTATATATGTTAGGGGGTATTTCTATAAAAAAAACCCCAAAAGTTGAAATTAATCGTTGNGGGGGGCGAAAGGGTCTCCAACGTCCCTAGTTCCCACATAAATCTAAAAAAAGAACATGGGATTCTACATGAGATTCTTGGTCAATGGAAACCAAAATCCCATTGATTAACTTTTCCCCCTCTCAAAATCTAAAAAGAACACCCCCTTAGTGTAATGGACATTTAGACTATCTTGTTGTCATGGTCAAAAACATAAACCATTCACCATTCTTTGCTATATTGTGTAATGACAATCTTGTTTTAATGCTTGATTGACAACATAGGGATCACCGTTGATTGTTCACAAGTCCATAACTCCATTTGTGGATAAATAGTAACTGGGCCAGAGCCATATCGTTTATGAGATATTTTAGTACGTGAACCCAAAAATCATGATGAAAGTAACAAGACACCGAGCCAATTAGTACCCTGGCCCAAGTCAAGGTAAAACCCAGTTCCAAACCAATAATTAGAGGTATAAAATTGGAGTTCGGATTTAGTCCCAACATAAGGTCCTAATAACCGGTCCCAACAGCCATTGCAGCCATGCATTGGGAATATCCTCTTCAAGATGTTCAATATACAACTGACCAGACTCATAAAATTGGTTGAGAGAGAGAGGGGAGGGGGCAATGAACCTTGACACACTGTAATGCGAAGTAAAAATATTCTCTACCTAGAAGACAACCTCTTACACTATTTGTCTGCTAACTTGCTAAGATAAATTCAAATAAAAGTAAAAATAAGATATATTTTGGATTATTCATGCTTTCCCTTGCCTTCCTGTTTTCCTCTACTTTCTCTCTGACGAGGTTTAAAAATAGGGTAAATTACAAAGACCCCCTTGATATAAAGGGGTCTGTGACAAAGACCTCCTTGTATTTCAATTTGTAACAATGACGCCCTGAACTTTTACATTGTGACGAATACCCCCTTAACTGTTAAATCATATAAGGTGTTAAATTATCAAAATACCCCACTAAACTTTCTTGCCATTTTTTCTTAAAACCTAAATGACCCAAATGGAGATATGTTACTTCAACAATGCAACTAGGAAAGCAACATACTCTGATTTTCTGGCTTCATGTTGTTGATCTCTTCTCTCTCTTTTTATAAATGAATCTTCTCCATTGGAAAAGACAATGAACAGCACAAAGTGTAAAAAACAAAGTAAGATAATTTCATAAATTAAAGAAAATGATAAAAATAAACTAGAAAAGGATAGTTTGGGTACTAGAAAAACCTGAAACAGTCGAATAAGAATCTTTTTTGAAGTTAACTGATGGATTAACGGAGGGGATCTTTATCTAATAGCTAAAATTCAGGGGGGGTCTTTGTCACTGACCCCGTAATACAGGGGGGTCTTTATAATTTACCTAAAAATAAGGCAAATTACTTTTCAATCTTTCATATGCTGTCTTTATTTCCCCTTTTGGTTTGCCTTATTGTCAGCCAAATCTAAAGACCTACTTTTAGCTTTGTTTTCAACGCAATGTTAAGAAGGGTATTTGCTCACCGACAAGTGACATCATAGACAACCAGATAACCCATGACTCATGAGGATTGGAATTTGCTATTGCCAAGCCTCTACAGCCGGGCAATTAGAAGGAGTGAGAATTAGTCGAAATAATTCCCCTACTATACACTTTCTATTTGCAGATGATTGTATCATCTTCTTTAGAATGAAAAATAAATTACTCTTAAGTCCAGCCTTTTTTTTCAATAGGAATGTACCTCGACACCGCAGGAAATTCTTCTCTCATATGCTCCATCTAAAAAAATCTCTGCTTGGATCTAAATATCTTGGCATTCAAATTGGCACAAATATCCATCTCTGTAGCTTTCATAAGGAGGTCATTGAAAGGGTGTAGTAAAAAATTGGTATTTGGAGTTCCAAGTTATTGTCACCACACTAGTCAAATCAGTTCTGCAAGCAATACCCGTAAACTCCATGTCAACATCCATTTTACCAAAGACAACCACCTCGTCCCTTGAAAAAATGGTAAGAAACTTCTGGTGGGGGGATAGCAACAAAAATCCCCATCATACCATTGCTTGGAGGAAGGTATGTTTACCAAAGAAACACGGAGGTTTGGGCTTCAGATCTTTTGACATTATGAATCAAGCAATGTTCAGTAAGCATATTTGGAGGTTGCTAACGAACTGCCAGGGATTATGGAGCAAGCGGATCAAGTCCAGGTATTTTCCCAATACCTCTATTTTCTGCAAAAAAAGACAAATACAGTTCACAATGGTGGCAACAAGCCCGGAGGATGGCGCTTATGCTAAGACCCAATTTACTGTGGTCTATCAAGGATGGTACGACAATATTTGCCTACCATGACCCTTAGATTCCTACACTACCAGGACAAGTTCCATCGCCAACCTTAACATCTCAATTGCAGCAGCCTGAACTGAAAGTCTCAGAGCTAATAAATTTTGATGGATCTTGGAATCTCCCACAGCTTCAAGAATGTTTTCATGCCTCCGCTATTCAACATATACTAGAAGTGACACTGGAGACTAGCCAAACCAGTGACCTACTAGTTTGGAAGCACAATACATCAGGCACCTATTCAGTCAACTTAGCATATCAACTTTTCTCAACTTTAGGGGCTTCAGTATCCTCCACATATTTCAATTGGAAATTATTGTGGCAATTAAAAGTACCATACAGTTTCCAAATCTTTCTTTGGAAAGTCTGCTCACAAAACAAAAGTGTTTGTCCTGGTTAAATGAACAAGACCGACTTTGCATTTTTTGCAAGGTTCAAGAAGATACACTTCATCGCCTTCTCTTTCAATGTCCATTCGCACAAGCCGTTTGGTTCGGTGCTCAAATTGGCATAAACCCCTCTACCATTGGTAGGACCCGATTCACACCATCATTATTAATTGGCTTACTGGGATGCGTTCAATATTGAGTAAGCAACAAGCATTAAGAAACCTAGGAAAATTTGCTTTGATCAGCTATCATATATGGGATGCAAGGAATAAGAAAATTTTGGAAAATATTGATCCAGATCCCATACAAGTGGTCAACTTAGCAATAACCCTCCAATGGGAGCATCCGACAAATGAGGGTAGGCCATCACTCCATCAACTACCATCTTCTAGTCATTTGTCGTGTTCATTTACTGATGGCTCTTATGATCCAGCTTCAGGTGCTGCAGGACGAGGCTTCATCATCCAACATGACACAAAAGGTTACACCATTGCAGAAGGGCCTTCATGGACGCTCTCAAGCTATGATGCTGGAATCCAAGCCATGCTAAGTGGACTACAAACAACTCTCTCTCATGACATTACTTGTCTTTTGGTATATACAGACAATGCAGCTTTAGTTGATTTTGCTAGAACTAATCGAGTTGCTCATTGGATTGAACAGATACATAGAAGCCATTTGAGACGACTCCTTAACTCTTTTAATTATATATATTTTAAACATATAGTAAAGCAACAGAACCAGGCAGCACATACTTTAGCTTACTTATCTTGTAAAGGACTAACGTGAATTTGTTACAACTCGAGACAATCCCCTCATGTATCTTTCACTATATAAATATATATTTCATTCCCCTTATGACAAAAAATAAATAAATAAATAAAACTATAACCTTCATTTTAGGTTCAGAATTGGTTTAATTTTAAATGGTCAATCATCAAGTACAATGCTAATCTAAGAGGATTTTAGATTAAGGTGTCCTTTGGTGGTCCAAGTACTTGTAAATTGTAACGACAATTCAATACCATAGACCATAGTTGTATTCAATTATTTCGCCCTTCAAAGCGAGCTAAACCTGGCCATGTTGGTTTGGGATAAATTTGAGATAATATATCTAAAATAATACAAAATACAAGGTTTTGCACTCTATATATTTGTATTTATACTCTTCCCAAACTAAACCTATTAATAGTGAAGTGCAATTTTCATGGAAACAAAACTTTCCTGGGATAAGTTTTATTCAAATAATTAACTTGCCGCCAAACGGACTGGACCTACTATGTCATCTTAAAATGAGAGAAAAAGAAAATTACTTCTGCCAAGAACTCAGAGCCATCATTGCTTATTAGGTACATTTGATGAGAAATAAAGATCAAAACTATGAAATATATAATTTCTATTTCTAAAGAATATACAAGATATGAGACAACACATTAAATACCATTCTCAATTAATATGATCAGAAGGAGAAAAAAAAATCTTTCTATTACTTTTAGTAGCATTAATGGTTCATTGCAAGTCAATCCCGCTCTGGAGCATCTCCAGAATCTTTTCTGCCACTCAGGCTCAGATTTCCAGCGTAAGACCACACTCTCTCCATGTCTTCTGCATTCAGTTTATCATCCTTCACATCCTGCAAGCCCTTATTACTGTTTTTGCTTATTATAGAGGAATTTGTCCTTCCAGGACTTCCAACCACCGGAGTTGAAGCGCAGAAGGTTGGTGTTGCAAATGGAGAGGCGTAAGGGGACTGATGGATTGTGAAAGGGCTGGGTGAAATCTTCTTTTGTATGGGAAGACTTCCTTTCCCTCCCCGGCCAAACAAAGACAGAGAGTCTGCTGCAGCACACCGCTTGATCGCATCATCCACATAGAGAAGATCATCAATCCTCGCCATTATGTTGAAGGCTAAGCTCTCCATCACCCTTGAATAGCTCTCAAGGATCGACTGCCCCACATCCTACAGCACAAAATACATTACTCCACCATCTTTCTTCTTATGAAAAGAATTAAGAAACATGTCATAGACTCGTGGCAATTCTAATCCAGGTCAAGATGATAAGCAAATATTAAGGTCCTCTAAATTCAACAGTGCACATATACCAAAAGCATAGTCATAATATGCTCTGTGGTGGAAGTTGTAAGCTAGTTGTTGGTAGTCTAGTTGTCTAATCCATATCCAACTCATCAACCTGGACCAGCCAGCCAGTTGGCTAATCTGTCAAAATGGCCACCACATTGGTTCTTCTTTTGCAAATTACGATGCTCTAGATTCACCTGCTTTATGGTGTTCAGTGACAACTCAAACCCATACATTATTCTACATGAATAATTTAAATGCCATGGAGCACTATGGAATACTTGCATTCAGGTATCAATTAAAGGAAACAAAATAAAAATAAATAACTCTTGATCAAGGAAGAGGCTGAATTTGGCAATATGGCTGGCTAGCTGCTTTGATGAGTTGCAAAAAAATTCAGTATCCTAAAGAAAAGGCTACAAAATTTAGTCAGAAGAGGTGCTGCATTTATTATCTTTTTTAAACAATAAAGCTGCGGTTGGACCCAAATCCTTAATATAAAGATAGGTTTGCTTCAAGTTAGCAACAAAATTGCAATACTCAAAAGATGGCAAAATAAAGCATGCAAAAGCACTACCACTATTGTGCTCCATGTAGCATAGAGCCAAAGCAAACCGAAACTCAGCCCAACATGAATACTGTAATTGATTGCAGTAGAGACCAAAGAAAATGAGAAAAACCTTATTGTATTGGATCTTGTTCATGTCCAGAACAGTCTGTGGAAGACCAGGATACCGTAGCCTTAGGCTTTGTAAGAGAGTTTCTGCTCGTTCTGCTAGAAGTTGGCTCTTTTCTCCATCCCCAACAAGCCCCTTGACTTTGCCGCCCCAAGATGATCGCCCAGATTTTGTATGGTTTGAATGCTTTTTATGGTCCTTCTGCCTCCAAACATGCACAGCAGCTTCAATTCTATTTGCTACCTCAAGAGTGTGATGCTCTGATGATAGGTCTAAGCAATCAAGAAGACATTCTGGAGAGAATTGATCTGCAGTTATGTAGCGGTAGATAATATCACCTAAACAAGCTTTTCCGTTCTGCAAAAATGGATGATGAACTGGCTTCAGGAACAACGTGATTATATGAAATGACATGTTTCGGAACTTGATTCTTCTTCGCTTATAATTATGGGCAACATAATGGTTAAGTTGCCAATGACCCAGTAGTTGAGATGGTCACATGGTGTCACTCCAAAAGAGGTTTAGGATCAAACCCGCAGGACTGCAGGCGCTTTGTGGTATGACCAGTGGACCTCACATGCACCCTTCTCTGTCCCCGCCTGTGTCCCTAGACTCCCTACAAACATGTACTGACAGACCGACCCAACTATTAAAGGTCTTTACCCAATGTTAGTCCCAGCTGCATTCTCCTGCTTGTTAGCCCAAGGTTTTACCACTACACCAAGCAATGACTCCTACTGATCTGATTATTGCAATACCAAATAAATAACATAGTGGTTAAGTTTGCCAAATTCACCTATCAGAATCTTCTACTTGGTTGCCATTGCACTGGACGGCAATATTGTCCTTCCATATTAAAGTTTAACAATTTCCAGGTGCCCACAGAAAGAACAAGTTATATATCTAAAAGGGGTTGAGATTTGACAAAAGTTAAGGAGCAGGAAAAACATTTTTGAACTTTACATGAACACCCATGCCAAACAAATAAACCAAGCTCAAATTTAATTCAATACTAAACTATTATAATGTGCATTGTATTCATGTAATATGTGGATATTATCTTGTAACACCCCTGTAAGTTATATATCTAAAAGGGGTTGAGATTTGACAAAAGTTAAGGAGCAGGAAAAACATTTTTGAACTTTACATGAACACCCATGCCAAACAAATAAACCAAGCTCAAATTTAATTCAATATTAGAAACTATTATAATGTGCATTGTATTCATGTAATATGTGGATATTATCTTGTAACACCCCTGGTACCTTCAGAATGCTGCAAATCATTCAATAGGCATTATTTTTTCTTTTTTTCAGTAATAAATCTTCGTGGACTCTTATGGAGAGTGAAATCATATCATCTAAGCACAATTAAGTCTTAACCTAAAACATGTCACTGTTATATAAACTCAAAAGGGATAGTAACAAAATCAACAGCAATGTTAGATGGGTTGCAGGTGAAAGAGTATCTTTAACAGTCAAAAGCTAGATTTCCTAAGACATCTTTTAAAGAGTGCAGATAACACATAGATACTGGCCAACCTATGAACATCCTATGATCACCCGAGTCTCCAGGTCCACCAAACCATATAGAACTTCTGCAAACAGATGGACATCTTATAACACCTCTCCTCCTGCTGTTGAAGCTGAAGTTCGTCTGGATATGGCTTTACAAAAAGTTAGCCTTATGGATCTTGGACCACTGACCCAGTTGTTGCTTTCATTAATATTTAAGGCATCAGATGGATTTTATTAAATGAAGCCACACGGCAATTCCATTAGATCATCCCAACTCTTGAAGTTCATTATTAAGATCTAAAATCTCAAATTTTGACTTTGATTGGTCCATATCAAGTAGCAACTAGCAAGGCAACTCAAAAGTCAAAACTGCAACCCTTTTTTTTTATCAGCAACAGAAATAAGACTTTCATTAAATCAGCAGAGAAATATACAATATAATTAGTAGCCCCGGCTACCCAATGATCTTAGAACAACCACAGAAGCCTTTTCTAACAGTTACAACTAAGCCCAAAAGCAATTCCCTCTATTGACCCCTTGCTTAGCAAAGTGATCAGCTAAGCTGTTTGCTGATCTAGGAACCCACTGTAACAACATCAACATATCTTTTGAAAACCTTTGAAACTTTTTAATCTCATTTCTGAAGTACCACAGAGCCTTATCATTGTCTTTCAGCCAACTTATGATCACTTTTGAATTTCCTTCAACTACTAGCTTCCTTATCCCTATTTCTCATGCTTTTTGGATCCCAAAGACAGCTGCCTTCAGTGCATTCCCTTTTACTAAGCACTAATTCAACTAGATAATCATTGTTGGTCAATTTTACATGGGCAATTCATATAAAAAAAAAAAGTATGACTTAAAAAGACCTTGGTCATTCCAGATCTTAGTAATAATTACAAATAAATAAAAGATAATCCCAAAAGATAGTACACTACCAGTCATACATATGGTGCAGAGAACAAATTGAAAATATGCATCTATAGACTACAAACAATTGTAGCCACAAGAGGGAGCTATGTTTTCAGAGCTATCATCATACTGATCACATTGTCCGGTATATTTCTTTTCTGGCTACTGATTATGCCAATTGTGTTATACATATATATATTATTCTTTCTTCACATGTTAAAAAAAGTGAGGACAGCTTACCAAACAGAAAAGATAAACACCTTCATCTTCATCAAATATCAGAAGTTAATACCTAAAGTCCTATCCTACCTTTCCAATAAACATGCAAAAGTATGAAATGCCCCTCACAAATTTTAACAAATTCATATTCTACATTCTTGATGGTGCATGGTTCAATTTGAATGAAATATTTCTAGCTACTGCAGTCTGCAGCACATTCTTCACCAGGAACTGAATGCCCCAACAAACAAATTTCTCCAAATCATTTGGATTTGTGAATTTAAAACCATTTGGCAAATTATGCCACTTCTTGATTGTCATGAAGAAATCCATTAGTGCAATTGTCTTTGTCAAACAGCAGTCAAGGCAGGTTGCACAACCAAATGTCTTTGCTGAAGGGTAAACAGAAGATAATTTCTGGAAATTATAATCTGTATTCTACACAATTATTTATTTCCTGGTACCATTTATGCTCTTTGAATAGCCATATTGAATCTCCATTTTAACCATGTAAAAGTAGCAGACTAGCAGCCATGGAAAGACAAACACACTTATATGCTTTTTTCTTCATTCCCTATGATGGGATTAGCAGAAACCAAAATACAAACCTAGCAGTTAAACAATTCTTTACCAACTCAATGAGATTGGCTACTAGTTTCAACAGTTCTCTAGATGCCTAGATTAGGAAAAACATTTACAATGTCTCTAACAAAAATCTTGAGAGAAAATATCCAAGATCAGGATCAGAAGCGATAACCCCTATCAGAACCATCTCCAATTTTAATAGAGCTACCACATAACTATAAATGGTTGCTTTAGTTTGATAGAAATAAAGCACCACTTTTGCTCCCCTGAGCTAAAGATACAACACCTTTTTCTTGGAACTAAAAGGTGCTGAATTCTACAAACGGTAAACAACATAAATACCATATACACCAAAAGGTAGGCTAAAGTGTCATCAACCAGAAAACAAGCCACTGTCGGAGCCAAGGAAATATATTAGATTTTCTCATATGAATTCCTATATGCCCTCATCAAATTGGAATGAGTTAAACAAAATTACAGTCATTTTCATTAGCTGAAACCGATTCTACCTTTGGTAAGCTCTCCAAATATGCTTTTGGAATCTCCATCTCTGCAAGAACACTGCTATTGATTGCCATGGCTGCCTTAAGGATCTGATTCGTGCAGTCCCTACATTGCTGCAATCTCTTTCTTGCGTCTTCCGATAAACCATTAGGTGGGACTCTGGGGCACGGGAGCCACCACTTGTCTTCCTGCCTAATAGAAGGCCTCCCGAAAGAGGAGGATGTTGGATAAGCATCGCCATCATCAGCATCAGCTAGAACAATGCCACGATCGACGTACCAAAACTCAGTATCCCGGAATCCATCAAGTATGCTCAGCAGCATAGCATCGAGCTTCTTGAGGGCTGGGAGGTTTATGTATAGATCCGAGCGTGGCCGAGTCACCATGACCTCGAAGGTCCCACCTCCTGGGAACTCTTGCAATGAGGGAACGAGTTCGACGATGGAGTCACTCACACATAAGAGCCATTCCATCTCTCTGCACCACATTGCCTTCTTCAGCGGCGCCAATGGCTCCAACCTCCAAAGCTCTCCGAAAACGGAAGCTGTAATTTTTAACCCCAATTTAAATAAATAATTAGATAAATGGAAATTTTAAGGAAAATTCAGGATAACCCGAGAAAAGAACCACAGAAAGACGAACTAACCAGAGAGATTTGTTATGGCATTCGAGATGGCCAGAGCAGTACAAACTCCCTTCCCCCCACCAGACATGTCTTCTCCAAGAAGAAGCTTAGCGAACCGCTCCTTCATCATCTCAACTTCTGCAACAGCACGAGAAAAAAAGTACAAAATGCAAAAAGTTAAGCACCAAGTCAACAATGGTAATACGCGACAGACAATGGGGAGAGTTGCGTTGCAGGAGAGAAAGGGATCACAATTAGGCAGTAAAGCCACAAATAAGTAAAAACATCGTCAATCGCTATTCATGTTAGATCACCCCCAAAATTATTCCCCGTAGAAATGGGGAAAATCCGACAAATTAAAGGCAAAATTGACGGGGAAAATAAGTGAACTAAATACTAACCAGACAAATCTGCCTCCCGCTTCTCCGGCTTCTCCTCCCAAACCACCACATCTCTCCCCCCAATGACAGGTAGCATCAGATGCGGCGCCGGAAAGGGGGAATTCCCGGCCAATAGGCGAGCAGGAAGCGGTGAAGACGACAGAGAGCTAGAAGCACCCTCAGCATCGTAACGCCGGCAAGAAAAACTACTGGAGCTCTCCGACTCACTGACGTCAGCACTCAAGCTGTAGCTCCCGAACCGCTCGCTCTGCTGATCAAAACCATCTTCGGATTCCGAAACACTCCCCATTGACGAACAAAGATAAAAGTAATATTTCCCCCCTAAAGTTCACCGAAGAGCATTAATCTTAGCCGTACATTTCAGTTCTCCGGCGAACAAATCTGGTCGGGGAAGATAGTCCGCATGATCTGAGAATTGCAGAGCCGTTTTTGGTAGTAAGAGAGAGACAATGAAAAAAAGGAAAAGCGGCAGCAGCAGAGAGAAAAGCACGCTCGGCCCGGATTTACTACCAACCAACACGGCAGCACACTCTTTTCTCCCTCCCTAGTCGGCTACTCTCTCTCACTTCTTCTGTGATGCCCACAAAAGCAAAAAAGACGCTGTTTCCAAGTTTGTATTTCCGTAACCGTAAGAAGAGTCCTAAGTCCTAACCCACCCGACACGATCCTTTAATTTCGACAGCCCAATACCAGAGTGTCACGGGTAGTTCTAAGCGGAAGAAACCCGTGCGAAGTCTTGGCCAAGGTAGTACAGGACCAGCCTTTATGCGCTTAGAGGCTAGGAGTTGCCTGATGGGATGGTTCCACCAAAGTCAGTAGCACTGGATCATGACCTTAAGTCCAATGGCCGGGGCACTCTCCTGGCTTAGACCGGTCCATGGGAGGTGCCACTTACGTGCTAAAGGGGGACAACCATCATGGAAGGTGACCATGCGCCGATGAGGTGACTTGGCACCATTGTGAAGGGTCTCCGGTATGCCGATGATGACAGGCACCTGTGTGCCATGATGATAGGCAACCGCTTGGGCCGGAACACACTCGTGCGCTAAGGGCAACAGGATAGCTCAATCAGCTTGGGCAAGGGGCTGGCGAAGTGAAGGGACATGCTTGAGCCAGGCCCGCA